GCGTGGCCCTGGGCAAGGAGGCGGGGCGGAGGCTTGGTGGTGTTTATAGTTCTGAGATTCACACGTGGTAAATATTGCCTCTGCCTAATTAAGAAAATCAAGAATAGACAAAAAGGAAAATCGTCTGAGGACCTATGGCTGTCGGAGGAGGGGACTGTGGACCACGGGAACGCCAAAAGGCTGACTGGTTTAGGGCCACCAATCAAAGCCAAGTCTTCAGGCCTCTGCCGGGTGGGGCAGGACCACTCTGCTTCCGGTGCAGAGCTAAAACCTGTGTCCTCCACCAGCAAGACCACGGGGCTCTTGCGGTTACCCCCAGGGCAGACAGACCCTGTGGGGCAGTGAGAACTCAGGCCCGAGACCTGCAGGTGGTCACCGGATTCATTAAAGACCCACTGAATGGGGATGCTTTAGAACTCAGCGATGCGCGTTAGCTGTGGGCAGGTTTCAAACCGTGGGCAGAAAGTGTCTGACCCACTCGCGGCCTCGGCGGGGAGCGGGTGATGGGCTGGGGAGACGGGTACAAACGGGTTTTCACCGTCACTTTTCCTTTATGGAGAACTGAAACCAAACGACTTCACGTGCCCGAATGGAGGGTTTGTTTCAAGGTGCCGGTGACATTACTGTTTTGATGCCACTTAATTTTTTCAGGTATTTCTGCCTGGCCCTGAGCTAAGAGCAAGGCCCAGAAGGACCCAGAACCCAAGGGGCACAGTGTGAGGGGACGGTGACCTGAGTGGAGAGTGGCTCCTGTGGCCTGGTTTTCTGGACACAGCTGCTGCCACAACCCAGGGGCATCGTGGGTCAGGGTGGCCTCTCCCACCTGATGCCAGCGCCTCAGGCCAGCCCCGCTGCCCTGCATGACAGGCGTCCAGAGGAACCGGGGACGCAGGCCCCGAGGCAGAGCGGCTGCCTCCTGCAAGGCCTGCGGAGGGTGCTTACTGGGGGCGAGGAAGCGCGCACACAGGTGGCTGTCCTCAGTCATCACATGGTGGGGGGAGGAAGCCCCTGGGGAGCGTGACTGCTCCGGGGCCCGGTGGGAGGGTGGGTGTGTACAGATCTAGATGCCCTTTGCAGTGCTGGGCCACTGTCGGCTTGGAGTCGACCCAGGACGGGGCAGTAGTGTCCAGGAATGAGGACCTCAGTGCTCCACAGACGCCTGGGTGGGGCAGGTGGCAGGGCAAGACCTGGAAGCCTGCCCGAGTGGCCAGGATCAGAGGTGGCCATAGACGGAGCTGCCCAAGGGCCAGCACAGAGCACAGGCCGCTTGTGATGGCCACCACCCCGACCACACTGCCATCACTGTCCTGGGGACGGGAGGGGCTGGCCAGCCTGCACCAGGTGCTCTCCGCTATCCCCGCCCCCCCCCGTGCGGCAGCTGAGGAGGGGCCTGCTCTGCAGCCCCAGGCCCAGGCTCAGGACCTGCCGGCCAGCTGCAGCCCAGCTCTTCCCACTGGACGGCCACTCACAGGTAGCAGGAAGCCACCGCTGGGTGCGGGGCAGGAAGAGGCCAAAGGGACAATGGTGCTGGTCACCAACTTGCCTGGACTTGCCCCAGGAGGGCTGTAGAACCCAGTCAAACTGCCCTTGGCCGCGGGTCTCAGGGCCCCGACGTCCCTTCTTCACGCCGACGCCAGTGTTTGAAGATGGAAGGTGGAGGGCGGGGCGTCGGTCCACACTCGGGCCAGGCAGATGGGAGTGAGGTCCCGGCCCTTTGCTGTAAGATGCCCCCCAGACTGGACTCTGCAGGGTCATTAAATGAAATGCACAGCGAAAACATTTCTGCAGTGAAAACATTTATTTTACAACAGTTATTTGAAGTCGACATCCAGACATACGAGACGGAGATTGCCACGGGAAACCGTTGCGGTCACCCCAGCCTGGCCCCCAGGGGGCACATGCCCGAGGGACCCCCACCTTGGTCGGGTTCCAGTCACAGGACAAAGCTGGGCACGGACGATGGGTTCCATGCAGTTGCACTTAGTTCTCATAAACGAGGTGGGTTCGTCTCAGTGTGGACTGCCGCTTTCACTCAGGGTGACACACGACCCATTCTCAGGGAACCGAGATCCACCAACGGGTGCTGCGGGCAGGGCCCAACCGGCCCGGTGCTGGAGGACAGCGCTGTGTGGCTCCCGTCCCCCACCTCCCCCCGACCCCTCCAGGGCCGACCTGTAGTCAGGACAGAGACCCGCTTAGAATGCAGCTTTGCCACTGATTGTATCTGATGCTTCGAACGTTGGTTTAAAATTTCAAGGTAGGAAAAGATTTCCAGGCACCTCCCAGATGTCACACAGGGACACTCGCCGGCACGGCAGCCCTGGTACCCTACCCTAGAGAAGCTGGCCCTGAGGGGCCCCGCCCGGCCACTGCAGGACGGGCACCAGCAAAGGTCTCAGCGAGCTGCTCTGCCCAACTCTGAAGGGACCAGAGGCCCAGCTGGAGCTGCCGGTCCCGGTACTGCCCAGCCACGGCCCACCTCCAGCGCACACGGATGCCAGCCCAGCCAATTCCACAGGAGGACGGTTCACAACCAAGACGAGAAAACAAACAGGTCAGTCCTGTGTCACGTGGGTTCACAGCTCAGATAGGAGAAAGGAATGAGATCAGTGACTTTTCCACACCCGTCACAACCCGCCCCCAGCAGGACAGGCGCCAGCGCTGGCTGTGCGCCCCCGGCAGAGCGACCACGGCCAGCCGGCGGTGAGTGGTCCGGGCAGGGCACCCACGCGGATCAGACCCCAGGGAGTGCGCACAGGGCAGGGCACGACCTCTAGAGCACAGTGAAGCAGGGGGGAAGCTGAAGGGAGACAGGGCGCCAACGAGCAGGGGCGAATCTGTGCCGACGGCCACCGCCCCCGGGACCCCGGGGCGCCCATGGCTCTGCATGCCTGTCGGGCCGGTCCCGCCCTGGCACAACGGGACAGGCTCCGTGCGCCCTGCCAACACTGGCCACATGGGGTCCTGGCTCCAGGCAGCCCCGAGTGAGGGCTGAGGTGCCGTGTCCCCCACTTGGCACACAGACAGGGGAGGCCTCTCCGGACTTGACAACACTGACCACCAGGAGACCACAGAGGGACTGCGCTGAAGGTCCGTGTCCCCGACGGGACGAGGCCTCACGGCGATCACAGCAGAGCATGGAAAAGGCCTGGATCCCACCCAGCCTCGGGCCGAGGCCGACGTCGCCCCCACCTCTGCCAAACTGCCCTGCCCCAGGGGGCCTGGGTACCTAGGAAAAGACCCACAGGACTTTGAACGAGAAGACGCCCAGCAAGGGGCGCACGTGGGCACGGGCGACGGGGCCCCAGGTTTAAAGCGGGTCCCTGACCGTCCTGGGGAGAAGACAACTCATTTCCTCCGCTACCCCCAGAACCTCACGGAGGCTGCCTGTGGCCTCACCCCTCGGGCGGACCCTGTTGCCGCTGCACAGGGCCGGGCACAGAGGACGCCTCCTCCCAAGGGCCCAGGGAGCGCGCTCCTCCTCTTCACGAGACGCCGAGCTTCGGCGAACCGCCCTGACTGACCGCCACAGCGCACAGCCCCTCTCACCGATGTCACCACGACCACCCTAACGAGCAAAACCCAAACAAGACAGGACCAAACGCCTGCCCGAGGCCCCAGTACTCGGCCAGCTAGTGCGCTCGGCCGGCGGCGGGGTGACGCCGTGGCCCTGCCAGAGCCTCCCAGCACCCTTGCCCGGCCCTGCTTCCCGAGTGCCCGGCTGTCCTGACGCCACCCCTCCCAGCCTCGGGAATGCGCCCTGCTCCGCCAGCCCATCCAGGCCAACGTGTGGCCTTCCGCTGCTTGTCCTTCACCCCCCCGGAAACCCAGGACCAGGCCCCGGGGGCCCCTCTGTACCCATGGTCCCTCAGCCCCTGCAGCAGGGGCACCCCACAAGGTCTGGACACGGATGAGAAAGACTGGCTTCTGGCGGTTCACGGACACTTCCCCTCACGACCGTGGCGAGAAGGGCTCTGGCCCGGTTGTGGCTAACGAGCCAAAGGGCACTGGGGATCCCGGGACCCAGCCTCTGGCCCGCCGGCCTCCCCCAGGACCAGCATCTGCAGCCCTGCCTGAAGCATCGACGAAGACAGGAGTGGCTGAGGGAGCGGGGTGGGGGCAGGGTGCATCACGACCGGACTGGCCCGCAGGCAGACTAACGGCCGCGGCCACCACTCCCAGGGGCCTGAGCAGGGCTGGAGAGGCCCCACGGGCATGCGGGGTGTGCAAGGGTCGGGGCAGGGGGAACGTGGAATGTGGCCCGTGGGGCGTGGGGGGGCTCGGGCAGACACAGGCAGAGAAGGTGGCTCAGAACCAGGGCCTCCCCACACCCCAGCAAACTCACCCGCGGGAAGACCCACCACAGGGCCACGCGCACCAGGTGCACGGGTCCCATGCCAACTGTCCCCAGGGCCACCACCGCGGGGCGTCGACGGCACCTGCGGTCACGTGGAGCAGTGCCCACAGGGCCCAGGAGCAGGAGGGGGAGGCCGCCCGGCCCGGAGACACCACGTGACGTGCTGGGCGCACGGCGCTGATCCGACCCGACCCGAAGCCCCAGGCGGCCCTGGCGTCCAGCCAGCACGCCCACGACGGATAGACGGACATGGAACGTGACCCCATACATGCTATTAAAAAGGAAAGACAGGAGACG